TGCTGAAGGGATGAGATTTGTAAATCTCGGAAGCACTGGCAGGACACCTGGGAGGAGGGTGCAGTGAAATGCAAAAGGAATGAAAATAATGCACAGACAGGCAGAGGAAGGCAGGTTAATAACTGATTGGAGCACAAAGTGGGAGGCTCTTGGGAATTCAGAATTCTGCTCTCAGAGCAGGGTTCTTCTTTCTGTCTGTCATCCCTAGGAGTCAGTCACTCAGTCACCTTTCTTCCTTATCCCCTGGTCATCCAATCACTTAATGGAGCCTCTTCCGGTTCTGCCAGAGGCAATACCAATAACCAGTAGGATCAGAGTCTTTTTGTTCTGGCTCACTACTTTCTAAAAACCATGCCATACTTGGACTCTTCTGTTAAATTTGGAAACTGCAACACATTTTTTCTTTTTTAAAAAAGTACACTATAAAAATAAGATACAAAAATATTCTCAACAGATTATGGAAATGCAAATAGAATCCACAGTGAGATACAACTTCACATCCACAAGGATGGCTGTAGAATCAAAAAGATGAACAATAACAAGTGCTGGTGAGGACATGGAGAAACTGGAACCCTCACACACTGCAGATAAGACTGTAAGAAGGTGCAGCCATTTTAGAAAATAGTCTGGCACATCCTCATAATGTTAAACACAGCATTACCTTATGACCCGGAAATTCAATTCCTGTAGGTATACACTCAACCTATGCTCAAACACTTGTTCATGACTGTTCAAGGCCGCATTATTCCTAATGGCCAAAATGTGAAAACAACTCAAATATCCATCAACTGACGAATGAACAGACAAAATGGGGTGTGTCCATACAACGGTAGAGGGGCTTGGCAGAGGAGCAGCCCCATTTAGCCCTAAAAAGGAGTGAAGGATGGATGTGTGATGCAACACAGATGACTTTTCATAAACCATCCAGATAAAATAAAAATAAATAATACAAAGTGAATAAATACATAAAATATCCAGATAAAATGTTTAGGACACTACATAATTAAAATAAGAAATGAACTTTAAAAGTACCCTATAACTTCAGATTTTGAAAGTCTTTGTTGCTATCCTTTCTTCCTCCCTCCTCCCCCTAGTTCCTTCCTTATGTTGATCTACTATTAAAGGTAGCTATTTCAAGGTGGTAGAATCTGAGAATCTTTTTCTGTACTACTTATATTTTTTATAATCAATATATATTACTTTCCCCTCGAAAATCAGTAATTTCCTAAAAAACAGAAAACAAAAGGTAGAAAAACAAAAACCCCAAGGCACTGACACATAAGGGGGCTCCCCTTATACAGCACACACTAGACGCCCTTCTAGCCAGGCTTGTATTTTCGTCTGACTGCCTCACAGAAGCCACCTCCTTTCAACATGCTGGAAGTTGATAAAATCTGAAAGCGTCTCTACATCTAAACCCAGCTGTCAGCATTTTCCAACATTTTCCATTTCTTCCTACTGGAACTATCTTATTCACCGCACTAGGCTTTTTGTTTTGTTTTGTTGTGGGGCAGGATGGGTAGGAGGAAGGGGAAGGTTTTTTCCTTTTTTCATTTCACATGCCATAATTCATGTGCTCTTCTGTATATATATGTATAGTGTTTTTTTCCGCCCTCAGGCCATCTAATCTTCCTGCAACTGCTGAGCATTGTAATAAACATTTGTATTCCCCTGACATCCAGACAAGTGAGAGCCTTTCCTAAACGCGGCAAGGTCCCTGTAGTTGACAGCCTCACTCGAGGTGGGTAAACAGAGACTTTATTAGTCCTGTCTCCGGTTCCACAGCACCCAGCCCAGTGTGTGTGCCAAGGTGCCTCATCATTAGCCAAAAGCAGCCACTTTCCCCCAGCCTCCCTTTGTAACCTGCCACTACTGTCGGTGCAGATAAACGTTACATGCAAAAGACACCATTAAAATAACATTAAGCTCCTGGCTGAAGCACTGACAGCTGCGATCTCTGAAGCTGAGACGAGGCAGCTCCCTTGGTGTTCCTTATCTTTCTGAGTATGTATTTTTAAGAATTTTCTGAATTCCAGGAGTCTTCACCCACCCAGCACTGTTAGGTCAAGGTACAGACAGACAAAAAGCTGCTTAGGATGATGCTATTTTTCTGAGTTTTCACACACTGGGCATGTCTGTAACATTTTATCTACTGTCTGACTTCACCCTCTGTGCTTAGGACAGACTCTCCAAGAGCAACTGTGCATCAGGGACAAGGGATGCCCTGGGACTGGCTGGAAGGCTGTGGAGGGCAGGACAAGAGCCCCAGGTAGGCTGAGAGCTGAGCTGAGGCTGCCTTGGGCATGAGGCAAAGTGCTCAGATGTAAAAGGCTCAGGGAAGACATGTTAGGGGGAGAAGTTCAGGGCAGGACCAGGTAATAACTATTCCCTCAGGTTAGCAATGATGATGAGAACCAAACTGGCTGCACTGTACGTATTGGCTTCATATCCTTGCTAAATGTTTCTACCTTTCAGCATTAAAAACATCACTATGGCTGGGCTAGGTAGCTCATGCCTGTAATCCCGGAACTTTGGGAGGCCAAGCATCACGAGATCAGGAGATTGAGACCATCCTGACCAACATGGTGAAACCCCATCTCTACTAAAAATACAAAAATTAACCGGGCATGGTGGTGCATGCCTGTAGTCTCAGCTACTCAAGAGGCTGATCGCTTGAACCTGGGAGGCAGAGGTTGCAGTGGGCCGCGATCACACCACTGTACTCCAGCCTGGCGACAGAGTGAAAAAAAAAATCACTAAAAGCATTTACTACTTTCATGATGAAAGTCACTCAATGATGGCATTGGGGTGTCACAGAAAACATTTCTTGGGACAGTGGCACAGTCAGAAACTGTAGGGAGTATGGACATACCTGTTTAGCTGCTGCTGAAGAAATCGTTCTGCTGTCCAACAGGTCAAGAAGCTCAGCGAGCGCAGAGGGTGTGACAGGACTGGTGGCCCGCAAAAGAGAAAACACATTTACATTACATACTGTCAGGGCATCCATGAATGGCTGTTCAGAATCAGAACACTTGATTTCATGGGTGTAAATAATCAGACCCACGGCCAGGGATGATAACAGCAGGCCAACTGGGCTCTCTTTTACTTATTTTATATCTTACGATATAATCAATTTTTGTGATTAGTGTTCTTTCTTTTACCACTCAACAATAACAGCTGTTTGGCAGAAGTTGTGGCAACAGACAACTGCTCAGTGTAATTAGTCAAGAAAAGGAGGTGGCTGCAAAATTCATGAACCACAACAGGAAAGGGAAAATAAACTCGAGTAATTAAATATTTTCAACTGAAAGATCAGCCTAAAAAAAAAAAAACAGCTAACAAAGTCACTTTTCTGAGTGTTTCTGTGCAAATATAAATTCCTTTTAATTGTAAGCAGTTTTCTGCAAGGAAACACAATGACTAACAGCCTCATCTTCATCCATCCTCGGGAACCTGATACATAACCTTCTTCTCTTCTGCAGGCTCACAACAGCTTTCTGGACACAGAAGGGCCTAGAATCCACCATACCTACATTTCTAGGATGTGACTTATTGGCCAATATTCCATGATATAAAAGCGTGGGGCAACCATACACTGTGAAACAGTAAAGTCTCATTAATTCACCTTAAGGTAAATTAATAGTAGGGGTGAGTGCCTAAATCATGAAAAAGACAACAGTGAATTACAAACTCTTTTAAAATGTATGGTTTTGTGACTTCTAAATACAGGTTGAGTATACCTTATCTAAAATACTTGGGACCAGAAGTGTTTCCAATTTTGGATATTTTTGAATTTTGGAATATTTGCATTATACTTACCAGTTTAGCATCCCTAATCCAGAAGTCTAAAATCTGAAATGCTCCAATGAGCATTTCCTTTGCACATCATCGTCAATGCTCAAAAAGTTTTAGATATTGAAGCATTTTGGATTTCCATGTTAGGGATACTCAACCTATATATACAGCAACTAGGCTAATGAAATGCTGTACATCTGAGGTCATTTGGGGACTGGTTTTAAAAAGGTCGGAATGAAATAAATAGCACATTAGTGTGCCTGTGTAAATGAAGGCTTCTGAAATGCTTCATGCCACTGGAAAACATCCTTTGTTTAAGTTTTGGTTCCCATCATTCACAATTAATTTCTTTGGGTGTGCTCAGAATATAAAAAGGAAACTGCAGCTTATTCATCCCTATGCTGATTTCCAGGACTCCAAATCAATGGAGTGCACATTAACCAGGTATGACTTACTGTACTCTCACTCAGGTCCAGTGAAACCCTCTTAGGGCTGTCCACTTAAAACAGCTGATGTACAGAGGCAGCTTATCATCCTTTAAGTGTCTGTTTATCCCAAAGTATGGCTAAAAGGCAATTCCAAGTGAAAATTAGGTTTGGAGACTATCTGGTGTTGCTAAATTGGTATTCAGAACATCTGTGAACCACCCTGATTAAACCTCAAAAGGAAGAGGAGCAGAGGGCTGCTAAACACACTAATATCCCTTTTCAACTTCCTACCTTTACTGACAAGTAAAAGGAAGGAGAGTTTTTCTAAAAGCGTGGTTTGCTTGATGTTCTCCAATCCTAGAAAATATAATAGCCAATTATCTTAGAATGTAGACTCTGCGTAGAACCCACAATAAGCACTGAGGTGGAAGTGGATTTCTTGAGTGTGTGAAAGATAAGGTCCTCAGCCTCACATGAGTCGATTATCTTCATCTGTCTGGGCTGCTCTAACAGGTTAGTACCAAAGGAGACGTGGCTAATAAACCATAGAAACCTTATTTCTGCTCTGGAGGCTGGGAAGTCCAAGATGAAGGTGCCGGCAGATTCCATGTCTAGTGAGGATCCACTTTCTCACTGGTGGCATCTTCTTGCTGTGTCCCCATGTGGTGGAAGCGCTTAGAAGTTTCTTTGATGAGGGAGCTAATTCCATTCATGAAGTCCCCTCCCTGATGACCTAATCACCCACCAAAGGTTCCATTTCCTCATACCATCACCTTAGGGGTCAGGATTTCAACACAGGAATTTGAGGAAGGATCCAAACATTCAGAATGCAACAATAATATAAAAGATGGGATGGAGAGGGACAGAACTTTAAGGAACACAAAATAACTAAAAATACGTTGTCTTTGAGAAATTCATGTAAGGACCTCAATTCATCAGTCGGGTAATAAATTTAGACCATAAAATCTCTCCACTGACAAAATCACACTTGGGATTTCTCCATCACCTTCATGTCCCCACAATGCCTGTCACACAGTAGGTCATCATACTTGTGTCACAGGCTTCCTCACACCCACAGGGATGTCTGGCAGGCTGCACACGGTAATTCCACATATGCCAGGGCTAAACTTGAGTCAGACAGTGACAAAGATCAGTACCTGTCACACAGACCCTGAAAGACCCCGCTCATCGGCTCAATAAATAAACCTCAGACTTGACACGCAATGGCAGCAGCAGCACAGACTACTAATTTGCTGCTGTCAGATAATATTGGTTTCCGGACAATGAATGTGTCTCCGCTAAAGAAGAAACTGACTCTGCGACCTTCAGCTCTGTGGGCTGCTCTCTTCTCTTCCATTCTGAAGCCAATGGATTGACTGAGAAGGGGAAAGGGGCTCTTTCAAAGCTCCAAAATTTGTCCAGTCCCTCACAGCTCATTCAGGATCACAGCTCCATCTCCAGCTTGGATGAGGAGAGCAGACACCCTGATGCTTCTACAGCCACCCGCTACCCCTGTGCTGCCTGTCTCAATCCCCAAGCTTATCTCAGGCCCAAAGTGCACCTTGTCCACGTCTGTTAAAACGGATGCAAGAGGAAGGAAGACACTGGGACTTGGGCCTCCGGGGGCACCTGCTGCACACGAGGATTCTGTGTTCATCTCATGGATTTCGCCGCACACCTAGTGGTGTCCCACCAAGTGGCTGTTCCAGGCTGCCCCCTTCCCACTCCCCTCCTCAGCACATGCCCTCACCTCCCATTTCACAAGGACATCAGCTGAGCCATGCTCGAGAATCTTCCAGGGCATTCTCCTCCTCCTCTTCCATCAAACAACCCTTCCACCCCTGCTCAGAACCCCACCACCCACTGTCCGCTCCTCTGAACCAAAGATGCTAATTTCCCATGTTCTGTGGCTTGAATCTCATGGCTTCACAAATGCTCCAATCTCCCTATCTTGAAAATGCCTTCAGCTGACCTTGCAGTCACAACAATTATGATCTAATACCAGTGGCTACTGCCCGCCCTGTGAAAGCACATGCCATCTGGATTCTGTGCCTAGCCCTCTACAGAAGCTCTTCTCTTAAAAATCACCCCCCTTGCTTGTGACCAAATATTCAGCTTCTCCCCATCCCACTATGCCCTGACTCCTGGGGCTGCACCAAAAGCTCCTTGTGAAACCCCCTTCTTGGGCCTCTGGAATCTCCTCCTCTTCCTCGCCTGTCCCTCTGCTGCTCCTTGCCTATTCATGCCAGGTGAGTCTGGTGCCCTCTTCCTGGGTCCTCTGCTTTGACCCCAGCTGAGAGGAGGACGCACACACGGCCCAGGGCTGCACTGCTGCCTCAGGCCCCATTTCCCTCCCCTGCTGACTCCAACCAACTCCTGAGAGGCCCCATTCATAGCCAATGTGCTCTAAACCAGGACCGCAAACTTCTGGGAAGAGCTAGAGTGCATATTTGAGGCTTGGTCAGTGTTTTCTGTCACATATGCTTCTTTGTTTTAACAAAGGTGAACGCAATTCTTAGTCACAGGCTATACAGAACTAGAGTCACGGGCTATACAGAAACTATACTATAGTTTCCCAATCCTTATCCTAAGCCAGATTTGTCTTCCGCACAGACCAGCTCCTCTGCCGTTTCCCACCACCCTTCTTCTGTCTCAACTGATGACAGCACCATGCTTGTAGTTACCAGGGTGCAGATTACCAAGCTGTCTTCGCTTTATTCATCACCTACTCCCTGAAAAATCTAGTACCTTCTTACCAGATCCCAGTGATCCTTCCAAACATGAATTACAGCCATCCTTCCCTCTGCATTCCTGACACCACCACTTCTGACTTGCTGTGGCTCTGGCCACGGTGAGCTCCAACAGGTCTCAATGCCTGCAGCCCATCCTTGGATGCTATCCTACACTGCATGCTGTGGGATACATCTTCCTCTCGCCGCCAGTCCCTTCCTGGTTTAAAAGCCTTCCCTGCTTCAGTGCTTAGGGACTATTGCCTGCTCACCAGAAACACTGGGGCACTCAAGTGGCTTGGACAACTGGATAGCTGCACCTGCCTAATTTTACCATGACATACTTGGTCAGGAAATCTACAATGTCCACTTTCTTAACTGAACCAAACCTGTTACTCGTAATTCAGAAGTTGTTAACCAAATAAACCAACCTTTCAAAGAAATATACTCAATTAAAAAGCCAAGTTCAACAAGAGGTTGGACCCTTCAAACATCAGTCTTCTGAGAGGTATTTAAAAATGAATGCTAATTCACAAAATCATTCTCAACCAATTTGATCTCTAGAATGTTCCCTGCCTGGGAACATAGTGTCACTATGAGACTAGCTAGTTTTGCAGCTACTGCCCTTCTAAGCTTTGGAAACATGAGCCCTAGCAGCTGAGGCTGTTCATTTATGTTTGCTCTATGGGTAGGCTGGTATATCCATGCTGCTAAACGTTCTTTGAACTGAGTAGGAAAAGAGCTGCTATGGTTTGGTTCTGGCTTCTCAATCCTTGCTCCATTTAAGCTGCAAAACAGAACTGTTGCCTGCTTCCTCTTTACTTGATTTTGGAATAACCAAGCCTACTTTTATTTTGAATTGGGTACCCTTCAGGTTCTTAAAACTCTAGTGCTGGCCAGGTATGGTGGTTCATGCCTGTGATCCCAGCACTTTGGGAGGCCGAGGCAGGCGGACCACGAGGTCAAGAGATCGAGACCATTCTGGCCAACATGGTAAAACCCTGTCTCTATTAAAAATACAAAAATTAGCGGGACGTGGTGGTGCGCGCCTGTAGTCCCAGCTATTGGGAGGCTGAGGCAGGAGGATCACTTGAACCCAGGAGGCAGAGGTTGCAGTGAGCTGAGATCGTGCCACTGCATTCCAGCCTAGTGGTGACAGGCTCCTTCTCAAAAAGAAAAGAAAAGAAAACTCTAGTGCTTATGAACTGCTTGGGTAAATACCAGGGGCTCCAGGTCCACTCAACAGGCTAATTTATCCCTCAGCTCCTTTAGAGGCCAGCAAAATGGTTGTTAAATCCCTAACTTCACAGACCAACATATAAAGAAGCCAATCACAAGTCCACGGACTTGGCTTTCAGTCTTTGCGGCTGTGCCATCTGAGGCAAGTCCCTTATCTCCTAGGGCCTCCGTTTCCTCGTCTGCTAAATGAAAGATCTGAAGATCCCAAGGTCTCTTCCAAGACTAAAGCTCAGCAATTCCATAAATTTTAACCAACAACATAGAAAAACGGTAAGTTTAAAGCTAAAACATTTCTATGTCCTCCAGAAGCACAAACACCTTATTTTCTTGGAGCTTTCTTGGAATCTTCTGGCTAATGTGAATCTCCCTCCTCTCTGTTCCCACTGCACTGTGTCTAGTTCCAACACCGGAAGCATCCCATTCTGTCTCGAATTAAAATTCTGATGCTCAAGTTCTAGTCCTCCCCAGGAGACTAACAGCACTTGTAGGGTCAAGACCAGGTCCTGTTCATCCCCCACATACCACAGAGTGGGGCTCTGGACCTGCTGGGTTCAGGGCTGAATCCCAGTAACGTTCCAGAGGCTCCCTATTCTGGCTCTGCTCTGGCTCTGCACACAGCCACACCTCTTGGCCACTTTCCACCCTCTGCTCCTGCCAGCTATACCAATCATGCCAGTTCTTTGCTGTTCCTGCACCTGGGCTCTGGGTAGGCACTGCCCTCTCCCTTGTGAAATCCTATCCAACCTTGAAGGCTCTGGTAGAGCTGTATTCCATCCACAAAGTCTTCCACACAGCTCCTGCCTCCACAGAACGGACACCATGTCACTCAGGCTGGTCTCGAACTCCTGACCTCAAGTGATCCGCCCGCCTCGGCCTCCCAAAGTGCTGGGAGCATAGAATTTTCAGCATTAACAGCAGAATTTCTGAATGAAGAGGCCAAGCCTGAGAGGACAGGGATGAAAGACCAAGAAGCAGGCTGGCTGCAGTGACTAGCGCCTGTAATTCCAGCACTTTGGGAGTCTGAGGAGGGTGAATCACTTGAGGTCAGGAGTTCGAGACCAGCCTGGCCAACATGGTGAAACCCCGTCTCTACTAGCCAGGCATGGTGGTGGGTGTCTGTAATCCCAGCTACTCAGGAAGCTGAGACTTGAGAACTGCTTGAATCTGCAAAGTGATTGCAGTGAGCAGAGATGGCATCACTGTACTCGAGCCTGGGTGACAGAGTGAAATTCTGTCTCCCAAAAAAAAAAAAAAAAAAGACCAAGAGGCAGTAGATGCCACAGAGTTCAGCAGATGAGATGAGGGTGGCAGGTGCTTTGGTATTAGTGCACCACCCTGGAAAAAAGCAGGCAGCTAATACCAAGGCCCACGATGTGCCAGGCACTGTGAATTTTCCCCTCAAAAGCTCTCTGAGGCAGGTCCTGCCACTTTAACTTTGCTGTGAGGAAACTGAGGGTCAGAGGGGGATCTCATTCAAGGTCACTTCCGGTGAGCAGCCGATTCAGGAAGGGAACTAACGTCCTGGCCACACTAACACATGGATGTGTGCATTCACAGCCAGCGGCTGAACATGGGGTTGACACCGTCTAGAGTTAAATTCTTTGAGCAAACAACTGTTGGGATTTATTTGTCAATATCTGTCTGTCTTCATTCCCCAGGATGCTGCTGAGACAATGACACACCCACCTGGCCTGGGTCTCCCTGCCCCTGGGACCTTGCCAGGCCCTGCCACCTGCCTGCCTATGTGCCTCCAGGGAACTCTCTTCCTAATGCCCCAGAGTGACACCTGCTGCCGATTCTTTCCTTCTTCAAACCTGCCTTTCCCTTGGTTTGTGTCACCAGTACCCACCCTGGTTTCCTCGTTTTCCTTCTACTTCTGTGCTGTTGTGCCTCCGTTTCCTTCTTCTCTGCCCATGCTTCCCAGTTAAAGGCTAGAGAGCCTCAGCTTCCTTCCCCAGCCACCTAGCACGATGCGCTCCCTGAAAGTTCTCATCTGTCCAATGGCTTCAAGGACAGACGCTGCTAAGTCCAAGTTTCACTTACACTGCGCCATGTCCCTGCAGCCCAGACTCACCTCAGATTTTTCCACCTGCTGTTCCCCATGCCTGGAACACTTTTCCCCGTCAGCCGTGGCCCGTGCCTGCTCATCCTTTCCTCAGGTCTTAGCTTAGCTGCCACCTTCTTTCCCTCCAGAGCACCCCCCGTCACTGCACTGTAGCCACCAGCTTCAAGGCTGCCTGTCCTTTGATTCAGGGCCAGTGTCTGTCCCACGGACTGTGCTTCTCATGCTGGGCACAGAGTTTAGCACACAGCAGAGGCTAAGTGAACATGAGCTGAATAATGAACCAACGAGAACTCTCAACTGCAAACCTCCCCAAGATTTCATCAGCTGCAGACCCATAGATCTTGCCTGCTGGTTAGCCCCGTGAGGGGATGTCTGTCCTGCAGGCAGCTCAAAGCCAGCACTTCTGAAATGGATTATGGCATCCTCCCTCACCCCTGGCCTGTTGAGTTTTTTCCTCTTCCTTTAGCTCCTCCTGCACTGAAGAAGTCTGCCCTCTGTTTCACCTCTACCCAAACAAGAAATCTGGAAGTTGTGCCAATTGAGATAACTGCTCTCAACTTAGCCTCCTCACTTCAGTCTGGCCACTGCCACCTTGGCTCAGGCCTGGGGCATTTCTCATCCGCATTCCTGCAAGAGGTTCCCAAATGGAATTCCTGCTTCTAGTCTGCTCTCTGACACTGAATATTTGTGTCCCACCCCAAATTCCTATACTGAACCCCGATGGTTTTAGGGGATGGGGCCCTCGAGGAGTAATGAGGTCTAGAACAGGTCACGAGGGTGTGGTCCCTATGGTGGGAATGCTGCTCCTTTAAGAAGAGACCGGAGGGCCTTCTCTCCCTCCCTCCTTCCTGTTTCACCCCGCAACTCCTGCATGCCACATGAGGACATCTGTGAGCCAGGCAGAGGGCTTCACCCAGGACTGGCACCTGGATCTTGCATCTTCCCCACCTCCAGAACCATGGGAAAGACACGTTGCTTAAGCCACCCAGTCTGGAATTCTGTTACAGTGGCCTGAGCTGACTGAGACACACTCCATTTCCTCAGTGTGAAACTGGCATGAGCTTTCAAGAGCTGGTGATAAAGGCAGACACAGTCCTCCAGGTGGCCCTTGGTCATCTCTGCAGCTCTGTCCCCACCATTCCTGCCTGCCTGCCTCAGACTCCTGCAGCTTCTGGCTTTCCTGAGGCTGCCCTGCCTGCTGGTCTCTGAGCTGGGCACTGCTCCACTTTGTCTGTGCAGCCAGTCCCTCTCACAGGGACAGTGACTGTCCCTTGTGCTTCAGGGCGTGGCTCAAGCATACTCTCCAGAGGGGAGCCCTGGTTGGCTCCCCAGCGTCCGTTCAGCTCCCCTTTTTGTGCATTCACAGTACCCTGTGCATGCCTCTGGCACGACAGGGTCACCCTGAGGTGGCTGTTTCCTTACAGATCTACATCCTCCACAGTTTGTGAATGTCTGTCTCATTCATCTTCATGCCCCCAGCCTCTGACGCAGTGCAAAAAACATAGGGCACAGCCATAGATTTGAAGAAATAAATACATTTTTACATAGGCTAGAGAACATATTTAGAATGTGGAATCCACAGGAGATGTTTGTGTCATGTTGGGATATCCTGAGGGAGAACAGGGAGGGCCAAAGACTGGACCTGCCCTATTTCCAGAGCTTCTGGACAGACCTCATCACAAAGGAAGAAATTAATCCCAGACCTCACTCACCTCTCACTGACAGCGAGGTTCTCTTGCTTTAAATAGCCCAGAAAAATGTTGAGGACCCAACTCGTCACCTTTTTTGGCTCTGCCCTAGTTTCTTTTATCACATTTTGGAAGAACTCCAGTAGGCCGACTTCATTCTGTTAAAAAAAAAAAAAAAAATTATATAAAGCCTCCCCAAAAATGAAAGATCAGCATTCTGAAGGCCAATCTGAAACTGTCACCCTTTGCCTCCTTTGAGACAGCCACTTTTCCTTTGCTAAACCCTGAGATGTCACCAGAAAATTCTGATCACTTTTAACTAATGAAAACTATTCTACTACTGTCACTGTGCATTTACATAGCATTTTCTCAAAAGAATAAACACATTTTAGAGAGCCCTGACTTTGCAGACCAGAGGATGGTGAAATTCCACATCCCCAAAACTCACTTGCTTTCTCCATGCCTGCCGTGTGCAACCTATAACCTCCAGACCTGAGCTGTAAACTGGCCTAAAATGTCTGGCCTGAGTTTAACGCCCCTTTCTCTTTCCAGGCCTGTCCTCTGCTGAAGTCCTAGTAATTGCTAGAAAAGAGGGTAAAAAAACAAAGCAAATCAAGAAAGAACAAACAGAATATTCTACCTCTGAAAAATCAAAAGTGGATCATAACTATATTGCGCCTCACGTAATGACAAGAAGTAGACAGGGATGGTTCTGAAATGTTTTCAAAATGAGGGAGAACATGGGCACATGTGACCCACTTAGGCCGCTTAACAGCAGGTGGAGGGGCAGCAGCCTCCGAGCCTTCTGAGTTGAGCCAGGTAGAACAGACCCTGCCTCTCACTGTGTTCCGGGAAAACGATCAGCTGGAGACTTCTTTCATCAAGACTGTACCGTTTCTTCTCCTCTGGACTGTCGGCCCATGAGTCAGGGCCGGGCTCTCCTTGTTCACACTATGGCTACACTTAAGTCCACGCTGGACCGTGGCATCTGCTCAGTATTAGGTTGGTGCAAAAGTAATTGCGGTTTTGCCATTCCTTTCAATGGCAAGAACTGCAATTACTTTTGCACCAACCTAATATCAGCAGTGGAACTGGTATCTCCCATCAGCATGTATGTGTGTTGGAAATCACACACGAGCACTCATTCTTATCATACCAGGTACACCTTTAAATATGTAACATCCACAATTATGCATAGGACCAGCCCTGAGGCACTCACCACATCCTGTACTACACCTCGCTGCCAGCTCAGGTAGTTTTGGCAGAATCAAGGAATTTAGCTAAGTCCACCCCACTATTTCTTTTTTTTATTTATTTTTTTAAGATGGAGTCTCACTCTGTCTCTCAGGCTGGAGTGCAGTGGCGTGATCTTTGCTTACTACAACCTCTGCCTCCTGGGTTCAGGCGATTGTTCTGCCTCAGCCTCCAAGTAGCTGGAACTATAGGCGCATGCCACCACACCCTGCTAATTTTTAAAATATTTTTTAGTAGAGACGGGGTTTCACCATGTTGGCCAGGCTGGTCTCGAACTCCTGACCTCAAGTGATCTGCCCGCCTCGGCCTTCCAAAGTGCTGGGATTACAGGTGTGAGCCACCGTGCCCTGCCCACCCCCACTATTTCAATAAGAAAAATAAAAACTTGTGCTGCTTGGGAAGGGAAGGCTGAAATTTCCAAATTCAGAGGACAGACATGTTAAGTAGCAGATCTTCCTTACCTACGGAAATTCAAATCAAACCACACTTTTCTTGAAATATTCCTTTTAAGTTCACACTGCACCTAAGGCTCCCACCCTCACTCCTTTCGGAGACCTTTCATTAACCAAAAGAACATTCTGGAAAAAATGAGATACTAGGAAGAAGCAAGGTATTCTAACAAAAGGACTCTCCACGTGTAGCTACTGTAGCTGCTGGAATACACACACGGGCACGGCAGAAATTCCATAGTGATAAAAAAAACCTACATGTTCTTTGTAACAGATACATTCTCTGGTGACAAGCCTACTGAATAATCCTGTAATCATCTCTTGAATCTCTTTTCAAGCCAGTGCTATTATTCTGCTCATGCTAAACCAGGGCAGAGGCCACCTCGGCAGCCCAAGCTTGACTACAGATAAGGCAGAGCCAGGCAACTCGAAGAGGAAGTTCTGCTTAACTTATGGAAAAGTATTCAAACTTCCACAATAGTACACAATCACTGGGGAAACAGAAAACTGCTATCTGGCCCAAATCAGACAGGCAGAATTCCCTTTGTTCTAACCCAGACAGGCTGGCCCACTGGTAAAATGAGCTCTCAGGAGAACTCTTTGCTTTGCCAGGGAAAGGGTCTTCTAAATCCACCTAGAAATATTGCACTTAAACTCACAGGCTTGGCTGAGTTGCTGGGAAGTGATGAATATCTATTCCTCTACCCTTGGGTGGTTTTTTTATTGGATGGATAACACGGCAAGTCAGATTTCTGTTTGTCTTTTCATGTCAGTGCTGTGATGAAGCCTCTCTGAGTTGGAACTGTATTTCACTAGGGGATACATGGTTTCAGTCCACAATTTAAAGCAGACAGGAAAATCTGCAGTGGTGATGGGGTGAGCCATAGGGAGTGGGGCTGAAGGAGGCCGAGCCACAGCCACCCAGGGAATGATGGATCAATAAAAGCTGCACATGGCCCGCACTGCTCTTCATAGCACAAGCCCGCTTCTCAGGGAAGGAACACACGCATTCTAGTTTCCTAGTCTTCTTAGTTTTTCCATGAGACTGGAAATGCTAATCAGCTTGGCACGAATCTCAGAAGTCTCCGGTGAACATGTCAGTACAGCCATCTGGTTTTCTGAGAAAAACAGTGAGCCGGTAATTCCCTTACATAAAAATCACATGAAGAGCAATGCAGAAAGGCCACCGCACGAGGGGAACTTTAACGTCCTCCTCAAAAGCAACAAGCAATCATTCGACTCAGGATGAATCTACCCTACATGCAACAGAACTGCAACTTCGGCGACACAGAGAGTCGTGGCCCCTGGCTGACTGCGACTCTAATTGTTCCTTCAGAGATGGCTAAAGCAGCAGGCATGACTGGTCCTGTCTTTTGTATAATACCAGACAGTCTTTACAGCCCTATGACTGGGAAGCATCTTTTCCACATTTTAATCAAACTTCCCAAAGCACTGATTTACACCCAGAACCAGTACCTGCTCAGCTTCTCAGACGCAAATGGGAACCCTTGATTGCTAATGATTTGTCAGGTGATCAATGCTGGTGTGAGGCAAAGCAGAGCACCCTACATACCACCATTGGCTGCTCAGCGAAGGAACCTCTATCTACCCTTGCACCAGGCCCTGGAGCAATCTGCTCGAAGCTGTCTTCTGCATCCCACCTTCAGAGACAATCAAATGCAAATGGTGGAAGACTGTCTGGTTGGAACAGGATGAAGGCTGATTTCTCAATTGCATTTCTTGTTCTAAGTCACAGACCCTGTGAAGCTGATGACAAGCCAGAAATGAGGAGGACTGTATTTATTTACGAGAAGGTAACCTGACAGACCCAGCTGCCCAGTGGCAGATTCAGAGAAGAAAAAGCAGTCCAGAAGAATGCGAGTTGAGGAATAGCTGGTTATGTGACAGGGAGTGTCCCGACAGCTACAAGGGATCCCAAATGAGCCATTCTGGGCTAGTCAAAGGTGCTCAAGAATATCTATTGAGTATCTGCTAGACACAGAGATCAGCACCAGGCCCAGAGGGTGGCTGCGTGAGGCTGCTGCTGAGGATAATGATAAGCAGAGCTAAAACAGCAGCAGTGATGGGAACCAGGCACTGTCTACGCACTCTCTCCACATTACCTCAATGAATTCCAACAACAAACCTCTGAGCTCAGCTCTCAGGACTCCCCTTTACAGATGAGGACATGGAGGCACTAACTTGCTTATGGTTGCACAGCAAGAGAGCACTAGAATTGGACCAAACCTCTGCAGTTTGTGCTTCTAACCTCTGCGTGGCACTGCCTTCGAGGAAGGAAAGGTCATGGTCTTTGCCTGCCTGGGGACTGAAACTGAGCACTCAGGAGTGCCAGGCGCAGCAGGAGGTAGCCAGCTCATCTGACGAACGTGCTTACCCACACTGCCATTATTTTATTTGAGAGCTGCCAGCTGTTCAAAGGTTCTTAACATATGAAAAATGTTCCAAGGAAATTGAGTTTGAAATTAGGAGAAAATGGCAGGTTTGCTTTCTGCCTTTGCCAGTGTATACCTAAGCCACGTGGCACTCAGCTGTGGCATGACACACACCTGTTCCCAGACCAGGAAGGAAGAGAGCCGCCTGCACACCGCACAGGCCATACTGGGCTCTGGGGAGGGAGGGTGGCCAGAGCTCTCCCGCCCCTCTCCTGCCCCTACCTCACCTCTGCATGCCCTCCCCTGACTACTGCTGCCCCAGAAAAGTCCTGCGAACACACCTAAACCTGGACACTGCACAATCCTGAACAAGACAAATCCTGTTACCTTTCATATTGTTTTGGTATTAAGCATATTGTATTTTATTTATTATTGCATTCTAATTCCTCTAACAGGATAACTCCTACAACTGTGCAGGTCATGCCTGGGAGCTGCAGAAACTCTGCATCTGCAGACGAACCACAGGGGTTTCAGCTGGACAAGGCTCTCCCATGCCACAATGTGTCATTTTGCAGAGGCACACACTGGAATTGCAGCCATCCCCTTTGTGGTGGCGATGCTGGGGTAAGCAGACACTGAGCGTTTGGGCAGACGCTGGAGGAGGCTCCTCACCTGTGTATCAGTGCAGGCTCTGCTGTTTTATTATTCCTGTGGATCTGGTCATTCTTACAAAGTGAGAAAAACAAAACTCAAATACAACAGCTATGTAAAAAATGGTGCTGAAAATAACGCCAAATGCTAGTGCTGGGGATGGCAATGAAGTAAAGAGGCCCGAGACCGCGATGGCTCTCAGCCAGAAAGCAGGTGTCAGGGCAAGGCTAAGGACTGGAATGTTTAGGAGGGCAGTGGCTCGGGTGGGTGATGGGAATCGGTGCCCCCTCTGCTTTTCACAGAAACAGGAAGCGGCCGCGAACATCTTTCAGCAAGTGCTCCTGTGGACAGAAAATTTACGCATCAGGAGAGGTCTCTTCAGTGGAGAAAACAAGGAAGTTATTGGTGGTG